AATGTTGGCTCTTGATGTTATCAGACTGGGTTGACTCTGCTGTTTTGTTCAGTTTCTGCGTTCTCTTTTGATTTAGGAGGCGAATTTCAAAATTCATTACTCGTTGAACGAACTATTGGCCCTGGGTGAACTGAGATTAGATTTATTTCTGTATTTACAGGCGATGATTTGGTTATGAAGTATGGAAAAATGGTGAAAGGAAACTTTAGGGTTTTTTTACAACCTATGCTGGTGTAGTTTCTTCTGTTTTCGTAAGGCAATGATTACTGAAGATGAGTGATTGATTTTGGAAACTAGGTTGTGAAAAATCTGGGGTATCATTTTTTTAACAGAGAAGAATGGAGAGAATGATTCAACCTCCTCTGGTAAGTTGTTCATCTTCTTTATATAATGTTATAGAATTTCAAAACACCTTCATGTGATTTCCACTATCTGCATCTGCTTGATTATTATGCTTGATCGCTGTGCTTTCTGTGAGTTTGAACTTCTTGTCTGAACCCCTTTTAACTAATTATTGATTTGGAGCAACTTAAGCCTGTTACTGTTTTGTTTTCTTTGAATAAGTCAGAAAAAGCAATCTTTTCCGGTCGTCCAATAAATATATAATCTTAATTGGAGAATCTTTGTTTAAGTTTTACTCAGAATTTAGATACAAATAAACTGTATCATCTTCTCTTTTTGGATGGTTAAACCTAAGCATGCCAATCTGTTTAGAATCAATTGAAAAAAAGAAAAGGGAAATTTTTCATGACATCAGGTCATTCTGGTTGAAGGTTGTAACTATCTCCACCAGTCATCATCCTTAACTTTGATTGCAAGAGAGATTAGACATTTGATTATTTGGATTGAAGCTTGAATAGAAGTTGGCAATCAACATTCTTGGTTTTCTCTGCAGCATTAAAATTCAGAAAGATTCCACCTTTTAATTACTTGAAATTGGTTGATACGATGAATCTTGTAGCAAGATTTATGGTGATAAATTTAGGTTTTTGGGCTCCTTATTTTAATTAGAGCCAAGGATCGTACTCTCGATTTCCATTGCAGTTGATGAATGATACTTGTGGTCTGATTATTTGATGAATTTCTCGTTGTATTATCATTTATTTTTAAATTCTATCTATTTTCTGCTTTTGTGTTGTGAAATCCTGCATTTTATGAATCATATATTCATTCTTGTAGTAGCAGAACCAGTGGAATTAATTCAGTATGATGCTTCCATTCTGCAATTCATTTCCTTTTCTTTCACCAATATTTATTATCTTGATACAAGTAGCCGTGGAAAAAAGTATAATCCATCTAATTTTTTTAAGCAAATTATCCCTTTTGCAAACTAAATAATCTTTTTGAAAGAAAAGGAGAACAAAAGATGGAAAAAAATTTGATTTGTTAAGTTATGATTATCTATATCTAAAGAATTCAGGGACACGATGAAAGATCATATTAAGGCACTGTTTCGTTTTTACTATTTATGTTTCACTCTACTTTGGTCTAGAATTACATACTTTGAAGAAATAAATACCTTTGTTCTTGATTTTTTTGTACTTAGAAAGCAAATAAGATCCGTGTATAACAATGCAATTTCTTCTGGTGCTTAGGTCAAACTAAATCATGTTCTACCCCTGTTATTAGCCAAAGTGGTTATACAGGATGTTATTTATTATATTAAGTTTACCTATGCAGGTTGACACAACAGCTTGCTTATGTAGAGTAGATGCTGGGCTCAAAACAGTTGCTGGAGCTAAAAAATATGTACCTGGGACAAAGCTTTGTCTTCAACCTGATATTAAACCTTCAATTCATCCAACCAGGAACAAGCCATCGCGCAGTGACAGGAGCCGTAATCAATCTCCCCTACTTCCAGGACTCCCTGATGATCTTGCTATTGCTTGCTTGATCCGAGTGCCCAGGGTTGAGCACCGAAAACTTCGTCTAGTCTGCAAAAGATGGTACCGACTTTTGTCTGGTAACTTCTTTTACTCACTCCGGAAGAGCCTCGGGATTGCAGAAGAATGGATATATGTTATTAAGAGAGATCGTGATGGGAAGATCTCATGGCATGCTTTCGACCCAATATACCAGCTTTGGCAACCTCTCCCGCCTGTTCCCAAGGAATATTCCGAAGCCCTTGGGTTTGGTTGTGCTGTTCTTAGTGGATGTCACCTTTACTTGTTTGGTGGCAAAGACCCACTTAAGGGATCAATGAGACGAGTCATTTTTTACAGTGCCAGGACTAATAAATGGCATCGCGCTCCAGATATGCTTCGAAGACGACATTTCTTTGGTTCTTGTGTTATAAACAACCGACTATATGTAGCTGGCGGGGAGAATGAGGGGGTTCATCGGTCCTTGAGATCCGCTGAGGTATATGATCCCAACAAGAATAGATGGTCATTTATCTCAGATATGAGCACAGCAATGGTACCCTTCATTGGGGTTGTATATGACGGAAAGTGGTTCTTGAAGGGACTTGGATCTCACAGGCAGGTCTTAAGCGAGGTCTATCAACCAGAAACTGATGGTTGGTATCCAGTATATGACGGTATGGTTGCAGGCTGGAGAAACCCAAGTGCTTCCCTAAATGGTCACCTCTATGCTTTAGACTGCAAGGATGGCTGCAAGCTTAGGGTTTATGATGAAGTGAGTGATTCCTGGAGCAAGCATATTGAGAGCAAGATGCATTTGGGGAATTCCCGTGCATTGGAAGCTGCAGCTCTTGTTCCACTGAATGGAAAACTCTGCATTATCCGGAATAACATGAGCATATCCCTTGTTGATGTGTTGAAATCCGATGGTATCAGAGGAGCAAACTCAGAGCATCTGTGGGTAACAATAGCTGGAAAGGGACAATTCAAGACTATGGTTACAAATCTTTGGTCGAGTCTGGCTGGGAGGAACCGTCTGAAGAGTCATATAGTTCACTGTCAGGTTCTTCAAGCATAGAAACTGTAAAAAATTACACTGAATCTCAGGTGCACTTCCCTCGCACACCTTAATGCTTTTTTCGCATCTTTAGATTCGAAAGATGAACAATAGCCTGCCAGGATCATAGCTAATAGTGCACATAGTCTGTTGGTTTAGGTTCCAATTGAAATCTGAGGATCATGTGTACCATGAAAGGTGCTGGGTCAATGAGGATTGTTTGTTTTGTTAGATTGTTAGTATTATTAATATTTTACTACATGATACACAGTTGTTTACATGTTGAAAATTGCAGAACTTGTTATATGCTTGATTAGGTATATCTCCTTTTACAATTACTAATCTTTACGTTGCCGACGGATCTTTCAAGGAGTCCGCAACCGCAGAATTCACATATTTTCCAAAGCTTGGAAATAGATGTGTTTCAATCTACGTTGAATTCACTGGGCTGTTAGAAATAGACTTGAAAAGAATAAATTGGTAAGTGACAAAATGAGAAAACTCACTTGTGTCTCCCTTCAAATGAAAGAGTCTGAGGAGATCACACTCTGAGTTGAATATTCACAGACCTCCTAGGCAGCCTTCACGGGCCCAAAACTGGAGCTTCAAATCATGGATCCAAGTATGGTAAAACGTTATTGAGAAGGTAGGGTTTGCTTCAAATCATGGATCCAAGTATGGTAAAACGTTATTGCAGTTTTCTTCTTTCTGATGTTTAAACATATGGAGTTGCAAAATGTTTAAAATCTCTGATTCTGATTTTATGTAAAATAATTATACTCAAGTGGTTAATAATTTCAAAAATTTAGAATCATAGAAGATAATTTAATTTATTGATGAAATTTCATTTTAACATTAATTTTTGTTTTTTTAAAAAAAAATAAAATAAAATTACATTATTGTTTTTATATTACTTGCCTAGCCCCTAAGCCAGTAAATTTAGCAATTATAACACGGCTCTTAGTCTACTTCCGAGGCAGGAGCCACCATTATTTTCGTCTATTTTGTTAGCAGCCCTTTCTTCCCATTATTATTACCTTTTGAGCATAGAGCAAATTTAACTTAAGGAATCAATTGAATTGAAAGAAAACCATGTGGCAGGTATCAAAATTTCAACTAACCAGATGCAGAGGATTTTCTTTCCATATTAAACTATAGTAAACATTCGACAGTGGACCGAACTACTGGTGATTGGCTTATAAAAATATTAGCAAGCAAAATAAGAAAAGCAAAAGGAAAATCAGCACGTTTTCCTGCTTCATTAGCACCAGGAAAATTCTGAACCAACAAGCCAACAAACCAAAGAAAAATTTATACATGAATTAATCAAATCACGGTTGTTGGACTTACAAGATGGGACACTTTCTTCAAATTTGTTTCATTTTGCCTTCACAATAAGCAGATACAAAAATAATTTTTATAAGAATGCCTATATGAATTTTGGAACTATTACTACGAAGTGGTAGTTTTCTTGTTAAGAAGTAAAAACAAATTGACAACAACATAAAGCAATGCTTCTTGCACGTAGGATGCGGTTTTACGCTTTACCAGATCCTGAGAGAAAAGATTGCGCAAGTGAAAAGCTGGTCTCCTTCTGTTTCTGGTATTCCTTGTATCGCAGAAAGAAATAGCCAAGATAGTCGAAATCGATAGGAGACATCTTTGCCTATTAACAAATAAATACAACCAAAAAAGAAAAGATAAACATTCTTTTCTTGAGTTGTGATGAACACAGCAAGGAAATAAGAATACCTGGATTAGTGCCCATAAAGCCCAATACAAGTGTGACGCCAACATGTATGTATTTGTCTCAACATAGAGAGCTCTCAGATCTTTCTCTGATACCTGATGTTAACAGATAAGATTAATCTGAAGTTACTTGGACTGTAAGAATAGAAGCTCTTCCACCATGTACACATTCCAACGTGTACCATAAGAAATTAGATATAGATAAACTTATGGGCAACATGTTATATGCAAAGTTGAACTTCGAATGCTTATGGGCAACAATTGCATGTCGTATACATATGGCCTGCTCAATGAGCTTTGCAAAATTTTTAAATTTGGACTTAACGTCTGTTTCAGTCAATTGTTACTTGTAATATGAGTTATTTAGAAGTGTTCCAAAAGTAATTTTAGTAAAAGCAGTTTTAAGATGAAAACAATATATTGTTTGATAAAACTTATTATAAAAATATTTTCGGTATGAAATGTAATATTATATTTAATTTTTATGTTATAAAATTAATAATAAATTGAAATGGTAAAGTGAGACAAATAAAAAAATTATTTCTTACAATTATTTAAATAACTTAATTTATCTAAATAAATTATTTTATAATTTAAATTATTTATTTATGTTTGTACTATAAATACTGATTTAAATCATGCTTATTTTAATTTCAAATAAAAATTATAAAACATAAAGTTAATAAATATACTCGTTAACAATTTTATTCAGATCCTTCAATATAGTGTCATTTTTCAAAAGTATCTAACTTCAGTTTTTGATTTGACCTTTATCAAAAAACCAAACTGCATATTCTGCTTTTGTCTCAAAACACTTCTGCTTTTAGCTTTGGGCCAGATAAAGCAAACACAGGAACTCAGCCGAATAGCAACTTCTTCTGTTTTTCCTAAGCGAAAAACAGTAATTGTCAAAGCTCCAAATACAAAAAGATTTATGGTACATACCTCATGTGGTTTGTCAGGCCGTAAATAATGCTTGAAGAAATGATACTGTTCGTCTTTATTTGGATATCTACATTAACACCATGAGCACAATAAATAGGTTGCTGCCCAAATATGCAATGTAGTTAAACACCCCCCCCCCCCCCAAAAAAAACAAGCCACCAAGTGATAACTAAGAAAGAAAGCGTACAAACTATAGTCACACTCATATCCTGCATATTCATTGAAGTGATTTCCGATGTCAAAGCCTCTGTAATTGTAGGACCCGTACTCAAAATCAATTAAGTAGAGTTTCTCTGGTCATTCATTAAAAAAACAATCACGTTAGTAAGAGAAGAAAATGAAAACCACACCAGGTAGATCTGACGTATTATACCACTCTTTGTCTACCCCCATGTTGCATACCTACACAAATTTCCTCCTCTTCTACTCTCAAGACAACTAGCATCTCAGTACCAGGAAATAATCGTATATCCCTCATTAACTAGATCTGAGGGAAAAAAATCAAGAGAGAGAAGGGCATCCCTGCATTATATTATGTATTTCAAGTTCCAAGACATGATTCATTCATATCACCGAGCAATCCTACAAGCAATCCTCATTTTACCATAGAAAAAATAATCACCCCATCTACTAGCATTCCATTCTATAGATTATTAATTAACTAAAAAATATGGTAGGTTGTAAGGAAGCCACTGAAGGTGTATGAAAGGAAGAAGGGTAAAATGATAAAATAGATATAAATGGATGACGGAAAATATCCTATTGGAGTTACAGTATTATTTCCTGTTATTTTTCAGTTGTAACCAAGGGGAGCGGCTTCTGATTAGCATATATAGCTAATTGGCGGGAAATAAATAAGCAGAAAAACGAAATTCAAATTTCCTAACTCAAATCTCTATCTGCTATCTCTTCTCCCCTCTATTCTTCTTCTCGCTTCTATTCTTCTTCTCTTTCTCTACATCGTTACAGTCAAGAACTAAATGAGCAAGGTTCCTGACAAATTGGTATCAAAGCCAGTAGAGTCCAGTGAAACCTATGCTTTTGTAGCATTAAGACTCAATCCAGACCATTGCAATGAGCAATAAACGATGCAGCAAGTGGAGGATTCTGTGAAAGCGGTCGATCAACGACTTACGAAATTCATAACAGAGATGTTCGAATCACAGTGCCAAACCAAACAGCAATTCGACCAAATCAATAAAATGTTTTGCCATGGTTTTTGACCCATGGAGTCGAAAAACCAGGCCAGTTACTCAATGCCAGTTGTCCAATTGCCTGATGAACACTTCCCACTCTGATAGCGTGCAACACTGAGGAAGTTGCCTCTCTCTTCTTAGAGAAAGTTGCAGATGTGTGGTACCAGGAGTGCTTGACAAAGAATGAAGACTTAGAGTGGGAGGCGTACATGGAGAGGCTGTGCCGAAGATTCGAATGGGCTAACAAGAAGGATTTTATTGAGGAGTTCAATGAGCTCATGCAAACTGGACTATCCAGGAATATCAGGAACCATTTGAGCATTTTAGGACCTTGATGACAGACAATCCAACTCTTTCAGAGATATTATTTATATTTAGCTTTATCAGTGACTTAAAACCAGAATTACAACATATGATACAGCTACGTAAGCCACAGACTCACAACCGAGCATTTGAGCAAACTCTCCTGCAAGAGTACTTCATCGTCAAGATGTCAAGAAGTGTCTACTTTGTGGGACAATCTTCCCAGCATTCCGCTTTGGTGGAAAACCTAGAACACAGGGAACTAGGGAATTG